CCCCAAAACCCCAAAACCCCAAAACCCCAAATTTCTTACAAAATTGAACATCAAACTCAAATACTTTATTCAAAATTACCTAAACTCACTTATAAGCCCAATTTTAATCATTTCTGTAACCACATCTCCTGGAGCTCAAACTATTCCAAAATTGAGCGAGATCAAGTCGATATCCTTATTTAGCTCTAAAAGCCCTTGACTGTTAATATAACCTTTTTGCTGGCAGTACTTGAGCAGCTGGGTCTGGAAGAAAGTTCCTGAAGAGGTAGTTTCTACAGGAATTCAAAGCAGCTTAGCCAGGTCAGGGCTAGGCATGTACAAGCTGCCTTGAGTGGTAGCAGAAGGCGGCTGATTGGGGCTGCTGACTGGCTGAGAAGGGACATTGGAGGGATTTGATGTAGGCGGATAGGAGATCTGCTGATATAATCTTTGAAGCTAGTGTTTAAATTTTGGTTGACTTTCTCTAAATTTTCTATTTTTCCAAGTACCTCTTTCATAAAATCATTCAAACCATCCAACTTCTCAATCCTCTCACTCAAAAGTTCAAAGCTTCTCTCTTGTTTCATCATTCTCCTATCTAAATCTCTTGCAAAGACTCTCTGGAGTTCCATTAAATCCTTCAGGTTGGCTTGCTTATAATCAAAAATGTCAACGTCAAGGTCTTCCTTCCTGTCTATATGATCAGGAGGGAGTTCTGATCGAGATTGATGCTCAGATGTAACTATCTTAGACTCTTCATAGTCCTTCTTATCATCAATATTAGATGGCTCTGATATGTGGCTAGTGTCTTGTTGAGCTACCTCTAGCTCCTTCTCAAGAGCCTTCTGCATCCTCTTCTTGGAACTATCTGAGATTATCTTTGGCTTAGTGTTACCCTTTTTATTATTCTTCAATGCAAGATTCTTGAGTAGATCTATCTCTTCTGAAGGATCGGTAGGGTCTTCATCTTTCACTTCAAAACTTACATTTGAATTGACTTCTCTAAGTCCTTTTAGATCTTGATTTGAGACTTTTTTTGACACCTTCTTCCTGATGCTTCAGGCAAAACACAAATCATATCTGTTTTGCTTCAGGATGTCTCTGAGGTCTCATTTCCTGGGTTCCCTTGATAATCCCATGATTTGTTGCTCACCTGACACAAAAATACTTATTTCACACTAAGAAATCACAAGATACAACTTTGGCTGTTTTATCTTTACAGTACTGTCACACTCCCATCGGCTTGCTCTTCTGTTCTTCTTCGTGACTTCTTACTATGATCTTCTTCATGACATTATCCTGGTATCATACGCTTTGGTACCAGTAAACGCACTGGACATGTGCCCAGATTTCCTCGCCTTCAAGCGTGCTCTTGACCAAGCAGCCTTTTTCCTTCTTGCAGAAGCATCATTTACCTTTGAAGCCATGCTGGCAGCGCTGGCAGGTCCAGCCCTTGACCATGACTTCGAAGCCTTGGATGGTGATCAAGAAGCCTTTGTGCTTCTTGTGCAGTTGGTCAGGGTTTCACGCTAGGTCAAGCAGGTAGCATGACTTGTGAACGGGGACAAGACATGACTGGCAGAGGATCAGAAGGTGGTCAAGGGACTCAAGCTGTTGGCAAATGTCACAGCGCAGGAACGGTGGGAGGGATTTTGGAGCAGGGGTTGACTGAAGGGAGGCGTAAGCGCTGTGGTAGAGGTGAGCAGGGGCTTTAGAGATCGGGGTTTGGGACGAAGTGTAGTTTGAGAGGGTTTGGAGAGTGGAAGGGCTGATTTCGGGGTATGTGGGAGGGAGAGATCCTGAGGTCATAGGAGCTCGTTTTTGAGGTTTTATGATACTAGAAGGCTGATTAGAAGGTTCACTCATTTTTGTAATCTTTTCAATCTTTTTGGCCATTTTTGGGGTTTTGGGGTTTTGGGGTTTTGGGG